GGGCCCGCGCGGGCGGCGGGCGGCAGCGGCCGCGGTGCTGAAGGGACAGCTCCGCGCCACCATGCCCTGAGTGTCCCCGGCGGCGCCGCGGCGGCCCCATGGCGGTGGCACGGAAAATCAAAACTTTGTTGACGGTGAACATCTTGGTCTTCGTGGGCATCATCCTCTTCTCCGTGTACTGCAGGATCCAGGACCGCTCGCAGGAGCTGGTGCAGATCGTGCGGAGCGCGGAGCGCCGCGCCAGGAGCCGCGGCGCCAAGGTGGGCAGCCTGGCCGACAGGGAGTCCATCCTGCAGCGCCTGGACCACCTGGAGGAAGTGGTCTACAACCAGCTCAATGGTACGGAGGGCTCAGCGCTGCGGCGTGGGGGAGCACAGAGCATCCCGCTTGGCCGGTCCTGCCGCTTGCCGTGTCCTGGGGAGGTGCCCTGGGTGGACAAGAGCATGTGGGGTGCGCGCACACTGGGGAGGGAAGCACCCGCACTGTGGGTGCCTGCGCCCTGTGTCCCCCACAGCGGAAAAGGGGCAATGGCAGGATATTGCTGGAGGACTTGTGGGGGACCCCTCCACCCCTAACCTCAGTGCAAAGTCAGGGCTTCCCGAACAGAGACAAAGTTAGGGAGCCTGAGGAGTTGCAGAGGAGGATGTAAGCATTGATTGAGGTCCCTGTGGGCTGAACCTAGGTTTTACACTTTGTCTGGATGGATTAACAGTACCTGGGTGTGTATGTGTTTATGGAGCAGATGTATTGGTAGTTTATGGTTGGTAGTCATATACTGGGTCTTAGAATTACTTTAAAAGCAGTCAGTTCTTTCACCGCATACTTTTAATGGTGTAGTTAAATACACCACCCACGTGTTTCTTCARTGACTTTGCCATGTAAATTTGGTATTGTCTTCATTGAGGAGGGGAAGGAGCCATCGCTTTTTTTATCACCTTCAATTGTGATTTACTAGCCTTSAAAAATCTTGGCAAGTCAGCAGAGTCCCTTCTTTGGTAATCAGAACAGGCTAAGCCATAGAAGTTGCTACAGGGTAGCTAACCTTTCAGGTAGAAACACAAATTTCAAAACAAGTGGGTTATATTTGAATGGACTCATGAAGTTCTGAACGCAAATCATTAGGGCTTTAAGTATATGATTAAACATATCAGAGTTTTGGAGAAGAAGAAATCAAACAAGAGAACTTTTACATGAAGTTGTAATATAAAGGTAACATCTCGTACCACATAAAACTTAAATGTAAGTATGTTTACGTGTGTCAAATACGCTTTGAGGGTGGCTGTGAAAATCTTCTTACTCATAATGTTGATTTAACAAAAACTACTGCAAACTCAAAACGCAGACAGATCAGAGGGCTCCTATAAAGTATATTCCCTCTTACTACTTTCTGAATRACTGTATAAATCCAAGTAGCTTAGACTGTTATGGTGCGTGCAGTCTGTGCCGGTAAGTACCATGGAACAGACATCGTACACGCAATTACTTGCACACGTGGGTGTATAAATGAGGAACAGAGGAGAGGGAGTTGTGGGTGACAGATAAATATATATGYGTGAGTTAGGGGAAAAGCGTCTGCATCTGTGTTTCCTGATGATGTTTTGTAGAAGTTTTGAAGAATGCGGGGTTTCAGAGGGAAATCCGCCTCCCAAATTCCGTGCAGCTATAGAGTGCCCTGAGTGAAATAGCTCAGTCTCTAAGCTGTGCCCATTGCAGCTGGACTGGATGGATCTTGTTGGCCCGAGTTGATTTGTCCTTGGCAGCRTTCGTAGGTGAGACTTGGGGTAGGGTTATTTTACAGGCTCTGGGTTCCTCTCAGCACAGCATCTGAGGACAAGTCCATRAGAGTCCTTAGGCAGGCACCATTGMGCGGAATGACCGTTTGACGATRTCTTGACAGAAACAGCAAGTTCTTTGTAATGCCCATCTCCTTTTTTCGTTTGTTTTTATTTTTTTATTTTCTTCTTTAAACTAGCTTTAGGTGTACGGCAATTCACGACATTATTATTTAAGTGCTGTGTTGCCCCCAAGGGTAATAATAAGCACCGTGGATATTTTTTTCTTCTTGAAAGTTCTTAAATGGGAAAATACAGAAACTTTTTCAAGTTGAACCATTCAAATTTCCTATTCATTTTCCTTTCAATTTCTCTCTGATATAATTTTATTTTTTTTACATTGTAGTGTATTCACACAAATTAACTATTTTGCCATCAGACACTTTCTGCCTCTCTCCTCCTCTCTTCTACATTTTATTTTTGATGTATTCCATGACACCAAAACCAAAGAGTCCTTTGGAAAAAAAAATGAGGAGGAGGAGGAGCCCCACTGAAGTGATGGGAGCTGCATCACTATAAGTGAATCAGGATCAAGCATCTGTGTTTGGGTTTAGCTCAATGGCATTCCGTTTTAATATCATGACTCATTACTTAATGGGCATAATGCTGCTCTGGCAGCATTTGCATTCAAGGGAGCCTGACTGTGACAATGAGTGCAGTGTCTAACGGAGAGTCTGATGTTAGGTAAATCTTCAGCCAGCCTCAGAGCTGCTGTTTCAGCCTAGTGTCTGGCAGGTTTCTGAGACATTATCCTATCTAGTCTTTTATTGGATGTTAACTTTTTATTTTATTACTCTTATCAAATAATAATAAGAGAATGAGAATGTTATTGGCAGACAGATTATGTTCTTAGGGGATGTGAATTCCTTGCACACTCAGACCTCCTGCAGGCACTTGAAAGAAGTTGAGTCCAACGCACTGTTATAGCAGGTCTGTCCAGATCAGTATTTTCATTTTCTGCTCTTGGTCTTTAYAGTTTAGGATCAGCAAATGTAGAGCCACCAGTTAAGTACCTTATGGGGCTGGTTATAAAATCTCAGAGTTCTTTTAATACATCTTTCTCTTCTATGTAGATTATTCCTAAACTGGAAAGACTTCACCTGCATTTTCCAGGGACTTTATTAAAGATCCAGGATAATAGATTTCTGAGAGTCCTGCAGCTACAACCATGCAGATTTTGGTTTGTCACACCTATTCATTTTCATGCAATCAAAAAAAAGTATACCTTTTGTAAGGATATATAAGTTCAAGCAGTAATATTATAAGGGTATCGGGAGACAACCTAAAACAGATCACTAGAGACCTCATTAACTTTTCAGTTGCAATAAACGAAAGAGAAAGTGCATACTGTGCCTGTGGAGGTATGTGTAGAGCACAGAAGACTATATATGAAAGCCAGTAGAAAGCTGATCCTTGCCATTATCACTGCCAAAACAAGATTTTTTAGAACAGAATGACGGAGAATTGCCACAGATGTGCACAGGGATGTGCAGACATACACCCAAACAACAGTTTTCCGTTGGCTCATATTTTGTTTTTTGATCAACTTAGAAAAAACACATATTTGAAAGCTTTTTTTATGCACCAAGCTGCACTTAGTGGATGTGAGTGGGTTGAGCATACAAAGGGTAAGGAAAGGAATGAAACATGGCTGTGGAATTTCTGTGGTGAAGCCCCTATGTAACTTGTCATTGTTTGATTTCAAMTATAACATTTATTTTGAACAAATGAATTGTACATATTGATAAACTATATCTGGAATATTTTTCCATTTTTGCTACGATTTTACTATTGATGAATATTTCTTATTACCAGATAACATGAAGGTACGACCAGGTAGAATTTGTAGCAATTCATGAAACGAAATGCCATAACAAAAGGCCTTGCTATTTTGTTCCTTTGCCTTTTTTTTTCTCCTTTTTTTTCCCTTAATAAAGGGAAAAAAATCAACAATATCTAACTGACTCATTTTTTTCCCCATAATCAGTTTTGTATCTGAATCTATGGCTAATGATTTTCCATAGAGAATAAAGAATTTTTGATGCCCCAGCTAGAGCATAACCTTTCATGCCAAAACCAATTGAAGGGTCAGACTACAATTTCACTGTAATTGCCTTTTTTTTTTCCCTTTTCACTGTCTCTTTCCAGTAATACACAACAATCAATACGGCATGTAATTAGATTTCATTCAATCTGCAAAGATTAAGAGAGTATTCATTTTCTCATTATGTATGCTCACATCATGTCTTCCTTCCCATGTCTTCTATATTAGACGTCTTTGACCTGTTCTGCTGCAGATATGAAGAGATACGTTTGGAATATTCCCTTGAATTTGGCAGATTATCATTCTTTACGCATCATAATTTGATTTTGCTCTCTTTGGGAAGATTAAATACAACAGCAATTTCCATTTTGATGAATGGATTTTATATTGCATATGCATTTCATGGAGAAGGCTGGGGGAAAAAAGTGGACAATTCATGTAATTGCAGCACACAGGCTTAAAATGATGGAAATAGCGGGACCTAGGTGCAAGGACTGATTCATACAGCCTATTACTCTTGATTTTTAGAGTGTACTGGAAGCAAAGTGATTGCATTTAAAATTCAGCCTGGCAATCTGCATACTTAAAAGGTAGAGTAGTATTTTTAAAAGGACAGTTTATTCTTCATAGGCTAGGGGCTGCTTGAAAATGATTCCAGATTTCCATATTGAAAAAGGGTTGGGAACAGGCTGCAAATGAATCATGTGAATGTCCACATCAGATTTGTCAAAAAGAAGCTTTTAGAGTTGGCAGCTTTCAGCTGAAGAGCAATTCCTTTGCAGAAAGGAGAGGTAAAGCCGTGTGTGCCTGGGGGAGGATGCAGTGTAGCTGCCAGCCTTGCATTCATGAAACAGCACTTCTTCATACCCACATACAGATTCTCATGTTATATTTTTTTTAATTTGATTATGATGCGATGCTAACATGCATTGACAACATTAGTTTATATTAATTCCCAAAAAGCAACAACTCACTTGCGAGGACTGCTCTTTGCCATGTGGTTTCTTTACACTAATGAGAAACTTCTTCATCTAATCTCACCTTGGGGGYTTTAAGGGGGGGCAAATTGGGGCCAGGCTAAAGCAGGAGCAAGTGATCTCACGTGTTCTGGCTCAGTTGCTCATGCTGAGGTAACTGAATGTTGTTACAGGCCTGACCTTCTGTATTGCCAAGTGATGAAGGCCAAAAGGCCTGATCTCAACTTGAATTTGCCTTTAGCCACATTAATCTTGATTTAGGTAACTGAGGGAAGGGCTAGGTCTGCAAAACACTCTAGTGTTTGCAAGGACTTTAACTGGAGAGGTTCATTGATTTGCAGCTCCTGCAGTCTGGTTCTAACCTTGTACTATTTGGCTGTGAAGCGAAGCCCAGGAGATTGCGTTTGTAGCTGCTGGCCGTGTTGGGTGTTTGAAGCTAAAAAGAAAGCCTAGTATAAGGCAAAGTTTTCACCCAATGAAAGTTGA